GACTGAGGTAAACGAATCATCTCCCGCCCACGTCAATTATTGAATTTCGTGGATATGGATAAAGATACTGGAGTTGCAGTGTTGGGAGCGAGGCGAGGGCTTGACTTAACTCTCGGATTAATTAGAGACGATGAGGAGGCGGGGAAAGTAAGATAAGCGCAGCACAGTTGGACCGCCGACGTTCCATGCGACGACCCAAGGATAAAAAAATGGATGGTGGTAATGTGTCGGACATCGCAAGATATGGGTTGCCCTTTTATTGAAGGTAAGGATCTCTTTTATTGAATTTGACAATGATGATGACGTCGTGATGGACTACGCTACTTGCCCTACGTCAAGGAAATATAAAGGATCTTAGAGCACTTTTGGGTAAATCAACTATAAGCTGAATGGGTTTGGTATCACAAAATATGGGTTTAGATGTGGGATGATTCTGGTTTCCTCGAGTGCCATAATTACATAGATTTGGTAAAAGCTTGTTCCTGTACGAGAAGAGAAGGGCATAGGAGGGAACCAGTTCCATTTGTTCTCGAATGTAACTAATTAGGCCAGATGGAAGTGATTGTTGGTGAGAGGTTGGGATTAAGGTAGCTTGTTCCACCTGACCATGGAATTTGGAGTTATGTAGGCAATGATGGAGTTGGTGGCTTAATGAGGTCTTGTAACGCAAGAATGGAGGGCTAGAAATTGATGATGGGCATGCTCGTGAATAATTTGAAGAGTTAGGAAAATGACTGAGTAATTGGTTATGGAATATTCGTAGGTTCATAAGCAAACGTACGCGCAACGTGGAACTCTCATGCGCATTGCTGGTGAGGAGTAAGAAGTTGATACTGAAAGTAAGTTCGACCCTAAACTAAGGTGAGTGTAAGGTGGTAAATTCTACGCCTTACGGTATTTAAGTTTTTGAGATTTGACTGCTATGTGCCGTACTTGCCTTTGTATGCTTATATGATGTCATATGATTTGTGTGACTTATGCTTCCAGTTTTATGTTGTTGTGTGCTTTACTTACAAGTAAGTTTAAGTTAAAGAAACAAGTTCTTTTTAAGAAGTAACTCACCTTCAAGAAGGTGAAGCCGTTTTAAGTGTTTTTAGTCACTAGCGCCAGTCCGTTGCCTTTTGAGATATTTTGAGATAGAGCAGCAGTTATGCTCTTGAGACTTTTAAGATGAGCAGCATTTATGCTCTTGAGAATCGTGGTGAAGAGCCACCACGATAAGTTTAAGGAAAGCCTGGATGGCTTCTCATACGTATGTGTTGGAAACCGGACTAGCTAGTGAGGGATCCCCGTGTCAGTCAAGTATTTAAGTCAAGATTTGAGCTTTAAGAGAGGAGAGTAACTTCAACTCCCTCAAAGTTTAAGAGTTAAGCTTTTAAGATTGGAAGTACAAACAACTTCCACTAGTCAAAGTTAAGTGTTTAAATAAAGTACTCAAGTATTAGAATTATTAAAACGTAAGGGCGTAGACTGACCCCATCTCACTCACCAGGACTTAGTAAAGGAATAAGCGAGAACTAGATCGATAGTTGCAGCTAGAGGAGCCGTTAGTGAGCAGCGAGATCGAGAAAGCTGTTCGAGGCAAGCCAGCTAGAGGAGGATAGTACAAGCGTCACTGGAGGTTCCAGAGATCGAATTCGAGCAGACAACAAAGTAGAGTTTTAGTTATTGATTTACGAATGTGAGTAGTTACTAGAGATTCAGATTAAGATTCTATGGTTGAGGTTTGCCCAAGTGGTAGGGCTTTGTTTTAAGAGATTTCAGTTCACTTCAGTAATTGTTATGGTTATTTATTGAAAGCTTCCATTTTTTTTACAAGTCTTTCGTTTCTTATTTTGGTTTAAGAGTCATCAAGGGCATTTTGGTAAAATTAGTACCCGACCGGGTTAGGGTGTTTCATTTTGGTATCAGAGCCGGTCTTCCTCTGTGCCTTGGTTTCTTTCCAAGGAATACTGGAATATCAGTCTCAGTTTTTAAAGGTTTTGTTTTAAAGGAAAGGAAAATGAGTCAAGGGTCTCCTTTTAAGAGTCTATAGAATCTCCAGTCTACTCTAATCGTATTAAGATAAATAACTTTAGTCCTAATAAAAGAGTGCGATCATACTAGCACTAATGCACCGGATCCCATCAGAACTGCAAAGTTAAACGTGCTTGGACGAGAGTAGTACTAAGATGTGTGACCTCTTGGGAAGTCACCTTGAACTGCACCCCAAGTCGAAAACCGTGAGGGTTGAGGCCCAAAGCGGACAATATCTTCGTTGGGAAAAGGTTTGGGATGTTACAAGTCGGCTCCCTCATTGCGTGACAGTGTACTACAGTGTGATGGGAGCTCTCGCACCATTGGCAATGCATTCCATGTTGCTTCCCTATCCCTGAAATCATCCTATTACGATGATGGCTGAGACCATCTTAGACACAACCTGCACCAACTCAGATGACTGGGTGTCCAAAGCATGCACTCCCTGATGACACCCCTCTACCGTCACATTGGAAAGTGGCCAAGTGTAACAACTTACTAAAGCGTAGTATAGCAGGTTTAGTTCTAAATGTCAACCCGGGTCCTAGGTGTGATGACTACTCCATGAAAGTCTTATTATTTAGCGGTTCAAGTGTAGTGAAGGTTTAACTAAACTAGCAAGCAAAAGCAGTGAAAGTTGTGTCCCCTAGACTGCAGTTAAGCCAGGTTGTAATTCACCAAGTTCAAGTTCAATGATAGTTATACTGCGGGAGGTTCTTAAACAGTCTGCAGTCTCGACTAAAGGTCTCCAGACCCTCTCAATCTGAGTCCCCAGCGGGCGACTAACCTCCACCGGAGTAAACAGATTGAGGTCCTAACGAAACAAACCTCCTCTACCGGAGTAAATCCGGTACAGAATAGTGAATTGACTCCTCGACTAAAGTCGTCAATTAACTACCTTCAATCAAGGTTGCTCTATCAACCTAGGAAGATGTTTTCTTTCTAGGTCAAAGGAGAAATAACAGGAATTTGATCAGGATTCATGCCATTCAAGAAATCAAACCTCAATCGAATATAATCAATATCAATGAATTCATACTTGGGTTCATACAATCAGACCTAACATACAAATCTAGGGTTCTTCATACCTAGGTGATTGAGAGAGTTTACTCCGTAGAGAGAGAAGGGAAATCTAGCTCAGATGCAGAAACCATGCTGTGAAAGATGAGATTCTACTTCCGGCAATCAATCGGCACTTCTCCAAACATAAGCCGAGCTCTAATGGTGATGAAGATCAAACTAGGGCGCTTGGAGATTCTCGTTCGTCGCTCTCTCTAGGTTTCTGCTTTCTATCTCTAAAACTCGAAACCCTTCAAAAATGGGTCTTCTTTCCCTTAAAAATCAGCAGGTCGCGATCCCCGTCCATAATACCCGGTCGGGTAATTTAGGTGCAGAATACCCGGTCCATAATACCCATAAACCCTTCAAAAATGGGTATTTCAGGTGCCCGGTCGGCGATTTCAAAACGCACAATAGTAGCTAGGGGATTAATATCCAATCGAGGTTCAGAATACCCGATCGGGTAATTTAGCCTTTCCCCGGCCTCTCTGTACATTTTACCCGGCAGGGTATTTTAACTCCTTGTCGGGTATTATCCTCTTCCAACATCCTTCACTCCAATGTCCTCCTTTTTTGCCCGAAACTCATTTCCACGCCTCCATATCAACGCCGAGTCCTGAAATATGACATAAACAAACAACCTAGCGTGAAATCGGCTTAAAACATGAGAATCAACTCTCAAACGGTTTAAGAATGGAGGTACAAACATGTGCAATTAATGGTCTATCAAATGCCCCCACACTTAACTGTTTGCTTGTCCCAAGCAAACCTAACTCAAACCAATGCAGCTCTCCAGACCTCTATAGCAACAAAAACCCTCGATCGTCGGTAGAGGATGTTCTAGATCATTTAGCAACTTACAAGGTCAACCGACACACAAGTCATCTCCTAACTTCTTCAGCGAGAAAGCTAGTCTCGAGTCGGCACCATGGCAAATAGTGATCAAAGGAAAAATGAATCGTGGACGTGGACCAATTTTCTTCCTTTTTTCTTGTTTTTCTGCTTTGGTTTTTTTTTCTTTTTCTTTTCAAGGGTTCCAACCTGTTTTTTCAGAAAATGGGGGCTCCCACCTAGCAAAGGTTTTGCTGGAGCCTGGCTCTTACGGGCCATGCTAGGAGCGGAATTCTCGAGCCTCGTGCGGGGGAATGAAATGTAAGGGGGCTGGAGGTAGTAGGTGGAAATTGGGAACGGATTCCCGTCTCCCCTTACACACTTTCGCCCTATTCGCACGGGAGACGTTATTTTGAAGCACATTTTTGTGCACCTTTCTTTTCAAAACATGATACAGGAGTCCATGACAGGTAGAGAGTCCACAACACCACACAATGCAAGGGTTTAGGATCACTAATTCACACAATCAACCAACACAATATGAAGAAGAGAGGAGACTTCTTAAATGCATCAACATCCTCCATAGTGCTACACTACCTCCCTATGTGCATATTACTATAGAGACTGCCAATTCAAAGCATACTGAGCAGGCAATTTGCAAGGAACACGTACTTGGAGCCCTCAAATCAAAATTTGGACAGTGGACTAGGCTCCAAGCACACAAACAGATCTAAGTAGTCAAATAGAAACATCCCCCCCACACTTAAGTTCGACATTGCCCTCAATGGAGAAGAGGGAAGGATAAGGGAAACGATGTTACCGGTATGGGCAGACTGCAGTGAGATTGGAAGGTGGACCAGTCGGAGTGAAACAGACTGGAATGGACCAGTCGCTGCAAAGGCACGGCTAAAGAAGACACAATCACTCAAGCACAGAGACGTTAGGTAAATTGGCATCCCAATAGTTCATCATCCAAAGGAAAAGAAAACAAACCAAACAAAAGCTAGTGTGCACTCCGAACCAAAACAAAAGAAACACAAAACGACCAGCGATTACAACCTACTCAAGCTGGCTGAAGGCAATCTGCCCCACGAGGTCGTCAACCCCGTTTGTTGGATGTGGCGGGGGTGGTGAGTGGTCCCACCGGGTAGTCCAGTGGTGCTCCTGTGGCGGATGGCAGGACTGGAGCAGGTGCTCATGATACTCCATCATCCGGTGGTTACGATCCCGCTCCCGCTCGATGCGAGCACTGGTGACTCACTACTGAGCCTCCATCCGGTCGAGACGTTCGTCCAAAATCGCCATCCGAGAGTGGTACTCGGCCTGGTGGGCCGAATACTACTGGTAAAACTGGACCTGATGGTCCATTAGCTGCTGGTTCTGGACCCCGAGCTGTTGAAACTGGAGCCCCATCTGATGGAACTACTCCGTCAAGAAGTCCATCGACGGACCAGAAGGACCAGAGGAGGATTGGCCTCGCTCGGGTCTCCGTCGTGGCTGAAGATCCCCTAGGGGGGAGAGAGGGGTCTCCGGCTCATCAGCGTCCATCGCACCATCATCATCGTCATCATCCTCGGCCTCATCTGCGCCGGTGTAGTCCTCGTCCTCGACCTCATCATCATATTCCTCATCCTCGTCGGGAGGCATGGGCAACTCATCCACCCAGGAGTCTGCCATCAGAGGCCAGCAACAGGGCGTTATGAAGCATCTCCTGGCTGAGAGGTGCGGAAACACCCAGTGTTGTTGCGTCAGTCAACCCATCAAAAGATATCTCGAAATGGCGCGCCAACTTCGTGATCAGGGGACCACAGAAGAAGTAGGTGGGTTTGTTGTGGCACCGAGCAAAGGTGATGGCCACAACAGACCCACTACAAGAAACAACACCTACCGACACAAATTCCTAGTCACGGTTATTTCAATTATGGCTGGTATACTAAAACAACTACGAACGTTATTATCATGAAGCTAACCATAACTTAATTATATTCTAGATTTACAAATGAAAAATAGCGAAGCTAAAAAATGTTTATAGTTTTGAGGCATAAGTATTGTGACAATAATGAGTGTTTTAGCTACTAAATTACCTCCACAACTTAAATTCATAGCTGTTGGTAAATTTATTGCCTTAAAAGCATTTATTCATTGCTAAACTTCTTACATTTTGCCACGTTAAAGAAATTGTGGCATAAATTATTTTTTAGCCATGAATATCATTAATTGTAACTGATTTTGATAACAATTTAGCTTCGAATGTCGAACTTTATAATAACTTTTTTATTAAATTACTTTTAGCCATAACCGACGAATTATGGCTGGAATGGTGAACAAGACTATGACCTTAATTATTATTTACAGTATATGATGTCTGCACAGTTATACATATTCATAGCTGAAATCTATTAGGGATGACTTTTTTGTGCTAATGTTGTGGCAATAATGAGTGTATTGGATCTTAAAACCATCCCAACCAATAGGAGGAGGAGATATAATCATTATTAATTATTGTCTAACTACTTACAATGACAGAAATGGAATATAATTACTAATTAATGTATTATTAATTAAAAGGAAAATCATCTCTCTCCTAAATTCAGCAACTATTTAATATGGAATTTAAAAATATAAATTCGAAAATGATATTTAATGTTTTAAAAAAGGAATTTTAAAATAAAAATTGCCCACGTTCCTTTTCTATAGCGACTTTGAATATCATTATTAATATTTGAAATGGTATTATTTAACATTTGTTAAATGTATTATTAATTATTATTGATAATAAATGTATTATTAATTATTATTAATATTATAAATGCTTACATCAAAACATTGATAATGACACTCTTAATCATTAATAACTAAGTTGTGTTGGCGTTAAAAATACAAGCAAAATCATTGATAATGATTGCATTTTAATGAATAATACCATAGTGCATATTATTAATAATTTTCTTCTCAAAATATTGATAAAGATATAAAAAATATTAAAATCTAACTCGTGTTTCATTTAAAACGCAAACAAAATAATTGATACTCAATTTATTGATAACAGAATTGTATTTCATTGAAAATAAGCATCAAAACATTAATAATGTCAGCACTCAATGTTTAGTAACAAATATCATCCAAAACTTTCCTATGAATGTTGTATTTCATTCGAAAATAAAACAAAACATTAACATTAAAAAATGACTCCAACTGTTAATAGCGACATTGTAAATTATTAATAACTAAGATATGTCTCTTTCAAATGCAAAAGCAAACACGTTAATAGTGATGGGATTTAATGGTTATTAACCATACTATGTGTTATTAATAACTCCTTACAAAAATAATAATGCTTATAATCTATCCTTAAAATGACAAACATAATCATTAACTTTTTGAATAACATTATCATTCATTTGCAACATATTTTTTAACTAGGATGCATGTTTTCAATGATAGGATTCTGGTCAAAACTAATACAAAAATGTTAACAATGATTTGCTTCAATATTAAAAAATTACAACATGTTATTAATACTGATACTGAAAACCGTATAAAAATTATGCAAGTCATTGATCATGAATTTGTATTTTGTTGAAACTCAATACAAAATCATTATTCTTCAATGGTAAGTGTAAAAAAAAAATATTAAATTGTTAAAAACAATGTTTGATTCCGTTCAAAACAATGTTTAACATAAAAAATACATCAAACACAAGCCATCATTAATCTATCCATCCATCCACAATTCACAATTCTTAGCCTCTCAATCTGAACCTCAAAATTTTGGCTCAATTCCAAACTAAATAATGAGAGATTGACTAATTTAACTACTGGCGGGGAGGGAATATTGTTAATAAAATTGGCTGGATTATTAATAAATTAAATGATAAGCAATTATCATTCGTAGGTTACCTTGTCGTTGGCAAGTGACAACATCATGTTAAAATGTTGATAATTCTAGTCCAAATTTTAATTATGGTAGTGCCTAACATTGATACGCCGGTGGAATATTCTCCCATTCTTTATGCCTCCCTCCTTTCCTTCCCTACTTCCCCGACCATCAGCAGCTCAAGATTACTCGACTGCCACGATCGGCTGCAGTATTGGAGACACGCAGGACGAGAAAAACTTAGATGAGACGGGTGCAGCAACAAGGATGGGTGACGTGGTGCACCCGACCAATCCCGTCTCGACACGTGTCAATAATAGGCATTAAAAATTAGAACTTAAGAATCCCCTTTTTCTGTATTTCCGTTTTTCTGTTCCCTTCCTAATGTCATTGATCCACGGGAAATTTCCAGTGCCCATACCGATAAACATCACCGTTGTAGAACCATTGTACACCGACGAGATTGAAATGTCTATTGATCGTCACAATATCGGTTGAAGTTTCCGTCTTCCGGTACACAGCTACCAAGTCAGGGTTCGGGTTCGTTTTCATCTTAACCAGTATTGGCTCATCGGATTGAAAATCGACGACGGCGAGTTGAAGCGCCAGGCTCTGGTCAATCTGAGCTCGGAAGAGGTACGAAGATATCGCTCCTCTGATTCACTCCCGACATGACGCGACGGCAACGGAAAGCCCAGAGACCTAACTAAACGATTCCCTGCCGTCCGTTCCCGATTTCTCCGTAGAAACCATGGTAAATTGTTTCTGCCGTAGTTAGAAATCCCTATCGTCCGAATTGATCATCCCGATCTCACCGTAGAAAGAAACTCGCCGGCGAGAGGAGGAAAGCCTAGTCCCCCGCAACTGCCACACCGCAACACAGAGAAAGGGGGTTTTTTCGTTGAATTAGAAAGGGTACTTCTTAAGTTCTAATTTTTAATGTCTATTATTGACACGTGTCGGGACGGGATTGGTCGGGTGCACCACGTCACCAATCCTTGCTGGTGCACTCGTCCCATCGAAGTTTTTCTCCACGCAGGATAAAAGGATTGAAAAAATTGGAAAAAACCCTAACAAAATGAACTCCTTAAAATCCGGCCACTCTCTCCAGTAATTAATTTTAATAATACTCTAATACCGTAATTATCCTTAACTACCCCGTAACCATTAACCAAATATTATCTACCTTAAATACTTTCAGCCAATAGAAATCACTTAAGAAACTTCTTAAGTTTCTAGTCTTAAGGACCTGAACTCATCCCTTGTTGTCATGTACTGAAGAAAAAATCTAATAACAAAAGTGATTTAATAATTTTGTTCATACTCCAATAACTAGAGAAAAAAGTTTAAAATAAAAGAATACCTTACAGTTACCCAAAAAATACCAACTTATAAAAAAGACATAACAATACATATTGTTATGTAGAATATTTTTTGAAATATAAAGCATCTACACTATTGCACTACATGGAACATAGAATGAAAGAAGGAATCCATAGGACTAGAACTGCCAACTCAAAGTCGAAATCCTATGCTGATACTGCTAGCTAAATGGTTTGTTGGTCACGAGATGAAAATTGCACCTGTTGCATGTGAATACATTTATTATTAATTGAGTAAAAGACATTCATTTGTATATTCAAAGCAGAAAGAATTAAATTAATAAATTAATTTTTTTTACCTTATTACAAGAAGTCGTCATTATCTTCAGACTAGTCGGAACTCTCTCCTTCATCTGCACTGTTCTCACTAAGACTGCTATTATCATCAGTATCATCATGTGCCTCATCATTTTCCTCCCAATCATCTAGTTCATTGCCTTGACAATATTATGGATTGGATAATTGGTTGCAGATTTCTCTTGTTGAAAAGCCTCTTCTTGTTCATATGATTGTTCATCAACTAAGTCCTCTGAGAAGTGATCAAAAGAACTTTGAGATTGACCTTTCAAAACAACAATCCAATTAGGATTAGATCCATCTTGAACATAAAATACTTGTTCCACCTGGGAGCCAAGGAAAATTGCTCATTTGTCACAAGCTTACGAGATGTATTAACACTAACAAAGCCATATTTGCTGACCTTCACTCCCTGTCAATATTCTCAACATCCCACCATTCACATTTGAACATTACAACCCTGTTTCCTCCCAAATATTGAAGCTCAACAACCTTAGAACCCATTAGCCCCGTTAACAAGATGTCACTGTTTTGTTTGACTTTTCTTGTTTCATGTTTTTGGGTATGCAATCTAAAACCATTGATCACATATCCATTGAACCTCTCAACACCATATAGAGGACCTCGAGCTAATGATAATAATTCTGCTCTCAGTTGTACATCTTTGTTTGTACATAATTGTGATGCCAATAAAAAATAGCAAATATTTAATCATACATATAATATATATATATATATATATATGCTTGAATGAATTATTCTTTATACAGAAAAAGCAAATAAACTTACATGGTTTTTAAACCATTCGGCAAAGTCTTCGTTCTTTGAAGATGTTTCATATTCTCTACAAAATGGAATAATAACAATTTGGAATAATAAAAAAATGGAATAATTAAGTATTTTTTTATCAAGGAGTGATTAGTATAACTAACCAGTAGAAGACATCTACCTTATAAATGGTTGAACTTCCTCACAGTTATTTAGTATATAAATATGAGCTTGAGTTCTCTCCAAATCTTCCAATGATCTATTCTTATTCATGGTTAATGGATAACCATTTTGATTGAAAACTGATACTTATTTACCTAAACCAATAGAATCACGATCACCATTTCTTTCTAGTTTATCAAACGGATTTTGCACCCCATGCTAATATCTTGAGCAAAATATGATACTCTCTTCCACAATATATCTTTCTACCATACAACCTTTAGGATAATTCTTATTTCGAACATAACATTTTAGCTTGCGAAGAAACCTGCATAAAACAAACACAATAATCAATCAAAACTCACACATCGAAAATAATTGAAGTAATATAGCATAATCTTTTTGTAGCATTGCCTCTCAATAGGATACATCCATCTGAATTGCACAGGCCCAGCTAGCTTTGCTTTAGTAGCAAGATGCATAGCTAAGTGCTCCATAATATAAAAAAAAA